TATATCCAGAAAGTCATTGTAAATGATAATTTCATAACGTGGTAAAATGCGTAGAAAGTTGAAGAAACTTTCAAAATCTATAATTCTGATTAGGATAATATTTTCAACGTAATAGTAATAGAGCAACATCAAATACATCACAAGATTTTCTTTTTCATCTTTTCATAAACCTGTGTTCTCCATGTAAAATCATGAAGGTGCTCTGAAGTGAGTGGTAATATCTGTCCTAAGAGCTTAAAGTAAAAGAACTGGTTTTTACCACTGTTGACCCTGGAGAATAACAAGAGTTCATGCACCTAAAATTCATCTGCAGGATTCAAAATGCCCCCTCTTCGGCAAAAGTTAACAAGGCAGGGTTAGCTGTCCTGAGGTTTTATGAAGCCAAAATAATTACGGCGAGAATTGAAATTATTTTGGTATTGTAAGGATAATATTAATAAGGCAAATAAAAATTTTCAATCTATATCAAAGCACCAGAACAAATGTTAATGACTTAAAACTTTGTTTCTTATGGCAAAGCTTATTTCCTTGTTCCTGTTCAAGATTGCCTTAGCAATACTTAACCCGTTGTATATAAATATCAGAATCTGTTTGCTAATTTTAACCCAAAATTTACAAGAGGTTGTATTATATCTAAATTATATTAAATGCATTTAGTAATTTTAATAAATAAATAATGACATCAAGGCCCCATTTTGTTTATTCCTCTATCTCCCCAGTCCACAGCATTGCTGTTCAAAGTGTGGGCTGCAGACCAGCAATATTGGGTGCACCCGGAGTCCATTAGAAATGAAAATTCTCACTAGATCTGGATGCTGAGGCTTGAAGAGGTCAAACAACTTGCCAAAAGTTACATAGCCAGGTGGGCTAGAACCCCATTCCCCTGACTCCAAAGCTCTCTGTTTCAGCCAGAGCAATGCACTGTCTGTGCACCATAGAAGTAACAAAACGCTAAAAAATTTTAAGAATCTTTCAAAATCTATAATTGGTTCTGATTAGGGCATTTTCTGTTTTAATCTATTTTGACATAACTGATTATTCCTTACTTTAAATTTCTGAAAGTATTAAATAACATTATCTTCAGATTACCATATAATTTCTATTTCCTTGGAAGTAGTCTTTTGTTGCCTTTTATAAGTTTACTTTTATGCTGGGGAATTTTAGTTAACAAACTCATCCTAAGTGAGAGTTCCTTGGAGTTCCTTTCTATCCAGACCAACCCCACTGTGCCTGGTGGTTTTGCTAATGTACATTCATCCCCCTGCCCAGTGTAGAACCAAATCTTACATTGGTAGGTAAAGTTTCTATTTCCCTGAGAGGTATTGTAGATTTACAATATGTATATCTCAGCTCTCTTCTGCCATTCCAGGCTTCCAGCATATTCACACTTGTGTCTGTATGTGTGTGTGTGTGTGAGAGAGAGAGAGAGGCAGAGAGAGACACAGAGACAGACAAGGCTCACCTCAACCACCTCTTGCACTCACTAGGAAGCATGAAGTCCTTGTCTTCCTGAAGGAATTGAACTCTCAGCCTACACAGCCTGTTCCCTGTCCTAGCATCTAGTACACCTATAGCTTTAGATGCGTTTCTCTGATGTATATTTCTGTTTAAACTCTACAGAAATATTTATCTTGTTTGCAGCTTGGCTATCATTTCCTAAGATGATGTTTGAAAACTTTATCATTTTGGGTGTGGGAGGAAAGGGGAACAGGGAGGAAAAATGGAACATCTATATGTATCTGCTCCATTATTTTCACTAAAAATGAGGATAAGACATTGGTGGAACCAGAATAGATTATAAAGCATGTGCAAAGCCACAAATGTTGACCTTCTGAGCATATAGAAAATTAGTCTTGAATTTATATCCACTAGATTAAGAATTGATTCAGAATATGCCACTGGTGAGTTTTATTCTTCCAAAATCTATTTAAGGTTCTACTTTGATTCCAGAGGAGTGTGTAGTTTCCAGTTGAAGCCCAGGATTTTTTTTTTTTTTTAATATGGAACGCTTCACGAATTTGCGTGTCATCCTTGCGCAGGGGCCATGCTAATCTTCTCTGTATCGTTCCAATTTTAGTACATGTGCTGCCGAAGCGAGCGCGAAGCCGAGGATTTTTGAACCATGGACTCTCTGATGTGTGAGTGCTTACTTCTCCCTGCAGGGCATAACTTCGCACCTGAAGACTGAGAGTCTGTACACAGAATGTGAGTAGGAAACTTGCCTGTGCAGCAGCGTCTCCTGGTTTCCGTCCACTGCGTTGACAATATCGCTGCTACCAGAGTAGGAGTTTATCATCAGTTTTACAATCTCAGTGGCCCCCTGGGTGGCAGCAAAATGAAGGGCTGTGCACTTCCCATTCTGTAAGGAGTTGTGACACCAGAATCAATGTCTAAGTCCCAGTTGAAGGATATAACCTAAATTCAGCCGGGAGGTTGTTTATTTTTTCTTCCCAGGTCAAGAAAATCATGGAATATGGAATTTAAGAGGATAAGTAGTAATCAGTTTCATCTATTGAAAAGCATAATATAAAAATCATAGTTGGCAATTTTGCTTCCTTGCGACCTGACAGCTCGGACAGTACTTCTATCAATAGTATCATTATCGTTACTGGGTCTATATTTGTGTTTGCAGTTGTTTTGGGTAGCTCTCAAAATTCATTACATAGGTTGAAATTTGGGAGATTCTCTTGTGCTGCTTCTACACAAACAGCAGGAAATACCTGTAACAATCTAGTCAAGTGTCCAAGAGCTAGGAAGCATTTTGGAAAATAACGTATGACAGTTCTAAAAGAAGAGTCTCATGTAGAATATAAACAGTTACCTCCATCAGCTCTACTTGGGCACCGTTGTCTAGGCACATTTTAATCATGCCCAAGTCACCACTCTGAACAGCCAGGTGGAGAGGGCTGGCTTTCCCGTTATTCACAAAGTTAATATGGAACTGTCTGTCATATCCATTTTCTTCGCCTTTAGAAGAAAATAAAATTCAAGATAACAAATCCTATATAATAAAAAGGTAATATGCAAATCAACCGAACAGTCAAATGACCAGAAGCTATGACGCACATTGACCACCAGGGGACACTAAACGCAGGAGCTGCCCCCTGGTGGTCAGTGCACTACCACAGGGGGAACACTGCTCAGCCAGAAGCTGGGCTCATGGCTGGCGAGTTCAGTGGTGATGGCAGGAGCCTCTCCTGCCTCCACAGCAGCGCTAAGGATGTCCAACCCTGAGGGCTCCTGGACTGCAAGAAGGCAGCCCCCCCCACCAAGTGCACTAATCTCATGCACTGGGCCTCTAGTATTATAAATAAACTAGTGGCCTGGTGCACGGATTCGTGCACATTGAAAGGAAATTAATTAGAAGAAATATTTTAATATCGCTATTCGCCCTTTCTCTATAATAGAAGTGTCAACCAAATTCACGATTGACAATGACAGATCAAAATACACACGTGTGACTGGCACCAGCAGGACAGTGCATGTCATATGTATTGGCCAGTCAGCCAGTCGGCCGGACAGATGGTCAGTCACTTAGCCTTTTATATATATAGATTAGAGGCCCAGTGCACAAGATTTATGCACTTGGGGGGATATCTCAGCCCAGCCTGCGCCCTCTCAAAGTCCAGGACCCCTTGGGGGGATGTCAGCCTGCCAGCTTAGGCCCAATCCCCCCGCTAAGCCGGCAGTCAGACATCCCTCTCGCATTCTGTGACCCCTTGCTCCTTACTGCCCACCTGCAGAGGAGGCGGGAGAGGCTCCTGCCACCGCCACTGCGCTCACCAGCCATGAGCCCGGCTTCTGGCTGAGCAGCGCTCCCCCTGTGGGAGCGCACTGACTACCAGGGGGCAGCTCTTGCGTTGAGCATCTGCCCCCTGGTGGTCAGTGCGCGCCATAGTGACCGGTCATTCTGCCATTTGGTCAATTTGCATATTAGGCTTTTATTATATAGGATAAAAGCAATTTTTAAAAAGACATTAAGTACTTAAAAGCCCATGTGAGGATTCTATTAAATATTTTTCAAATTATTAGCATCCACCAATATAGGCTTCTTTGTAATAGTATATAATGTAGGAAAGCCTCTACTCACCAAACTTTAAAATTATTTCCATGCATTTTTTGGCTCCTGAAAAGGCAGCCTGGTGAACAGGAAAACATCCCCATTTGTTTGATTTACATGGTTTAGCTCCATGTCTTAACTGGAGGAAAAGAAAGAATAACAGCAAAAAAGTAAGATGACACAACTTAGACCCCACGTGGCAAGGATGAACAAGGAGTTACATCACTTTCCAAAACTATTTCATTATCCTGTAACTATGTAAAACTATACAGAAGAGCTTCAAATGATATGAAATCTAGATAAGAAGGTAACTTTGGAACTAGGCTAAGATTCTGAAATAGAGACACTACATTTTCCAAAGATGAGGTGACAATGTAGACACAAACCATCAATCTCGATAGCCCAGAAAACTAAAGTGAACACATTTTTCAATTGGATTAATGAGATATTTTTAAACATTAACATGACTCTTCCTACACCCTTCTCAATTCCTTATACAAATAGAGTGATATATTTTCCAGATTCTTCCCCTTTGTTATTTATGTAAAGTTAAACAATTAGACCAGCATTTTTGTTAACTATAAAAATCAGGTATTTTCACTAATGGAAATTCTTCCCTAAAAAATATATTAGTATTTTCACTAATGAAAATTCTTCCCTAAAAAATATATTAGAAGTACTGAATCATATATTACCTTGACATTAGAGTCAATAATTTTCAATGGTAATTTTCTATAGATCTTTGGACTTTGGTTGCATTGTAAGTACCTTTTATTTTCATAAAAGAAAAGATTTTGAAAAAGCAGTAAAGTGTGACAAAGCAAACATTTATCTGTAATCTCATCTTCTAGGGACAGCATTGGGTTATATTTAGAGACAATATACTTTTTTGTCTTATTTGCAAAGGTAATTTTTATGTATATACTTTGTAGTCATACTGTTCAGAAAAGATTTGCTTACTAATATTATTTAAAAATTAAATTCTATTTTGGGGCACACAAAACTTTATACAATGAGTCCTATTAATTGAACTTCGATTTTTTTCAGTTTTCTCCATCTGATATGCACTGAGTGGCCAGATTATTATGACCACCTGACATTTGTAGGCAAATTAGCTATAATTTCGCACTGAAGTTGCTAGAGGCCAGATCATTACAAATGTCTGAATAGCACAACATACCTAAGTATCGTTGCTGATCAGGTTCATCCTATCATGTTGATGGCGTATCCCAATAGAGATGGCTTCTTCCAACAAGACAACGCGTCATGCCATGGTGCTCGTATTGTGCAGGAGTGGTTTCAAGAACATGAGAGAGACTTTACCTTGCTTAGGTGGCCCCCACAATCACCAGATCTCAATCCAATTGAGCATTTGTGGGACAAAGTTAAAAGAGCCATCAGGCAGCTGGTTCCACAACCATCAAATTTCACAGAACTGGACAGTGCTATTCATCAGGCATGGTTTCAGATGCCTCGCATCACCTTTCAACATCTGGTAGAGTCAGTGCCAAGAAGAATCACCGCAGTATTGAAGGCAAAAGGTGGCCCAATGAAGTATTGATGAAGTCGGTCATAATAATCTGGCCACTCAGTGTATATAACACTGATGTTAACATCAGTGATAGCTTTAATTATCTCTGGGATGTATTCCCAGAATTGAAAAGGGCGAGTCAAAAAGTGTTCACACCCACAGTGAATGTAATTCCCCAACTCATGAAAATTTCTCTAGCACTGTATATCAACAAAGTTTTTTCATCTTTGATTATTAGAGAAATTAATTAAACTTTATGTGACCCCTTGCCAGTTTCCCATGGAGTGTTGCTTTTTTCATTATAGATTTGTAAGAATACTTTATAGGTTAATGTATGTCCATTTAAAATTAAACATATAGATATAATCATATGCTTTGTCTGCTCAGGCCAATTGATGTGTTATAATCCAGCACTGAACTATCCGTACATGTTCTGCCTAAGGCCAACATGTATTTCCTGTTACTCTTAAATATTCTGATGAATTCATTGCTAGTACTTTTAAGATTTTACATCTACATTTACTTTTATGGTGCAATTCATAAAAGCCTTATATGGGATTGGCCTACTAGAGGACTTTGCTCTTGCAGCAAGACTATGATAAAACTAAAATGTACTTCAAATTAAGTTGTTTAAAAGGAATTTATTAAAACAAGCTGTTTCCTAAATACCTTGACTCTTTTTAAAAAGCACACAACCTCCTACCAGAGTCCCGTTAATAGAATGTGTGCTGACGTGTCAGTAAATGAATTAAGCTTACTAAATTATTGCCAAAGCAAACGAAACAGATTTTAATTCATAAGAACATATAGAGAAATTACTGATGGATGAAGGAAAAAGAGAACACAAGCTTCACTCGATGGACTTAGGCACTTCCCTAGCAAATGGTAGAGCAAATGGTAATATTAGCTCGCTCCAGAGCTTATATTGTAATGCACTTTTTAAAAATGGCTTATAGGTCCCTACAGGTCTTTACTTTTTTAGTTAATATTGAAATATTAATTATTTTCAGCTATTAATCCATTAAAAGGGGATTTATAAATTTTTTTTAGAATTATGCATACTGATCTTTTGTCATTTAAAAATTACTATCAGATCCAGGTAAAATCCTTGCTTATTTCTAATTTCATTTATTTATTTGTGCTTTATCTTCTCCTGTTTAAGTTAGACTCGCCAATCTCTCTCTATTTGATTATCTTTTTCAAAGAAATGACTCTTGATTTATCAAATAATTTCAAAATCATAATTGTGTTCAAATTTACTATTTAGTCCAATTTTCTTTTGGTTTATTTGAAGCTCTTTCTAAAGTCTTGGTTTGAGTGTTATGTAATTTATTTTTATTGTCTTTTTGTCCTAATCATGACAGCTGAAAAGAATATGAATTTTTCTCCAAGACATACAGTAAATATGTTACAACATATTTATGGAATTAAATATTAGGAAGATATTTTTAAATTATTTTTTTAATAACGATTAAGGAATCTTGGGAAGAAAGCTCTTTACTGGAATTCTAGCGCCACACTGGAAGGGGCACTGGTGGAAGCAGGAGTCTGTCAGATGGCGTGCCCAGTTTCCATGTTCCCCAGAGAAAAGGCGGCTCCCTTCTGGGCTGTGGCCGAGGGTTAGCCATTGCTGTCACACAGGGCTCCCTTTGTGAGAACCCATGGCAGCAATTTTTCTCATCTTGGTAACATGAAGGGCTATGTCTCTCTTGGCTTTTATTTCATGGGCCCAACAATAAGTCTGCAATGACTATATTTACCTTTCCTTTGACTATTCAGAAGTTCAGAATCAACAGTATGAGCCACTGTAATTAACACACAGGCTATTATACTTTGGGTTTCATATTCTAGCCTGACCACCAGCTTCATCTTAATTTTTCCTGTCTCTACTTTCCTTCACTTTGATCTTCTCACTTTTCTTTTAATGCTTTCCTATTAGTCTTTGGAATCCATTTGAGATTTAAGGTGGGTGTTCATACATAAAAACCCACAGAACTATTTTTATGACATATTTTCTGTACTTCATATTTTGCCTAAAAAGAGAAACTGGGAGCTGTTGTAAATAACAATAATTCATATTGTACTAATGAAAAGGGAAAGATAACAGAAAAAATAAGGTTAAAATACAAACCAAAATCTGCAGAGCCTCACTGTTATCTCTGGAGCATGCGATGATCACAGCCGTGTTTCCATTTTCTCCTTCCAAATTAATATTCGTACCACTGTGCTCGATCAAGACCTGTGTAAGAGAGGGAACAACTGTCAAGATTTAACCTGCAGGTTTCCAAACAGGGTATTAGAGTATAAACTCTGATGCCTGGGACCATGTCCTTATTCACTGTTTTTCATCCCTCTCCCACACAATCTGGCACAAAACCTTGCACATAGTGGGTGCTACGTAGATTTTTTTAAAAAAAATTTTTAAATATATTTTTATTGATTTCAGAGAGGAAGGGAGAGAGATAGAAACATCAATGATGAGAGAAAATCATTGATTGGCTGTCTCCTTCACGCCCTCTACTCGGGATTGAACCCGCAACCCAGGCATGTTCCCTTGACTGGAATTGAACCTGGGACCCTTCAGTCTGCAGGCTGTCGCTCTCTCCACTGAGCCAAACCATCTAGGGCTTAAATTTAATTTTTCCATCAACATTTATCCCCTCTACCTCTTCCACCTCCACCCATCCCTCTCTGGCCCCGCAATCACCATACTGTGGTCCATGTCTATGAGTTCTCTCTTTTTTTTCTTTTTTGCTCAATTCCTTCACCCTCCCACCCCCACCCCCACCCAGAGCTGTCTGCCTATTCTCTATGAGTCTGTCTCTATTTTGCTTCCTATTCAGTTTGTTCATTAGCTACATAGATTTCTCAATCAGATGAATAGTGGCAATCTCTACATCATATCCATTGAAGCAATTGTGAAACTGGACATACAGTAAGAATTGTGATTATTAGCTAACACAGTTCACTTCATATTTCTCACTTGTATTAAATGAACTATGTTAACTAAAGTCTTCAAGAAAGTAAATCTGTTGGAATGTATGGATTGGGGAGGAGGAAAAGAAAGATGCAGAAAGGGATGGCAGGAGAGGGAAGGAGAAGAAATATGTTTTTTCCCTCTAGTCATATTTCTTTTACCGAGATTGCAAGTCTTTTGGGAAATGTCAATTAAAACTCCAATGTCTTCAATAGGGAAAAGAAAGTTTCATATAACACTTGTATAGCTTAACTCATTTAATTCAGAGTTAGCCTGGAATAGAAACTTTCTCTATGATGTAAGAAATTAGCATTCCTGACAAAATGGTTAAGCAATTTTTCCAATGGAATTTGTCTGAAGACCTGTTTCCCCCTCACCTGGTTGGCTTCCAGCTGATCACAACCAGTCTTTATATTATATTAAACCTAACAATACTTATCTCACATAAATGGGTCTCCCAAGAGAGAAGTCTGGGATTGGCCTACTAGAGGACGTTTCTCTTGTGGCGAGACTGTAAAACTATAATGTACTTCACATTAAATTGTTCAAAAAGAATTTATTAAAACAAGCTGTTTCCTAAATACCTTGACTCTTTTTTAAAAGCACACAACCTCCTACCAGAGCCCCCTGTTAAGAGAATGTGTGCTGACATGTCAGCAAATGAATTAAGCTTACTAAATTGTTCCCCAAAGCAAATGAAACAGATCTTAGTTCATAAGAACATATAGAGAAATTACAGATGGATGAAGGAAAATGAGAACACAAGCTGGACTTAGGCACTTTCCTAGTAAATGGTAAAGTCACATGCAAACCTACCCAAGTCTCTAAGAGGAGATTTCCCCCTCTACTGTCTTAGACCCATTGGTCATTGACCTGCGGCATGTCTTAGGGTGTTCTTGTATTGCCATAAGCTCACTCTCTCATAAAGCTGGGTCTAATTATATGTGCAGGGGCCTAGGGAGAGCAACTAAACTGTGCACCCACTTCAGATTCTCTCATGTCCAGGCACGCCAGGAGGTTCTCAGGTGAGGCCTCCAGGTGTCCCTTTGATGAGAAAACAAGAAGCCTCATGGGAGGGTCAAGCCACTGGATACTTTGAAGTTAAGCCCCAAGGACGAAGGCCTGCAAGCAATGGAGAAACAAGGCCCCCAGGCACACTATGCACTGGGCCAGTGTGCCCCGGGAAGCACTAGGCATGCCAACAGAGTCTGCATGAACTAGAAGTGATCGTGGGTAACAGTTTTTCAGTTTACAACCATATGGGCCATGGTGGCAGGTTTGGGGAAAGGCTGGCAGACCAGACAATGGAAGAGCATTCTAAACTGGCCAGAACCGGTGTGGCCCAGGCCTGCCCCTGGGGTAAGGGGGCGAAGGAGGGGGAAGACCATTTGCCAGCATATAAGACACTCCAAAATTCCTCCTCCTTCTTTTATTCTCTTCATCTTGGGTGAAGCACAGGGGTTTGAAGGTAGTATTTAGAGGAAGTTATGGCTGGTAAGGGCAAGTAAAGGAGAGAGAGTTGATGTCTTTCTCTTATAACCCCGCTTCTCTTCTCGTCCTGGTGTATCCCAGGAAAATTTGTTACAGCCGCCATTCTAATTTATACATCACTTGCGGGCTTATTTCTAAACTTTCTTTTCCATTTCTGTGCGATATCCACCTTTCTGTATTTGTTGGCCAGAAGAGTTCTGACTTCTATTTATCAATAGCCTTTCAACTGTTATTGCCTTTGAATTCCCAATTCACACTTTCAGAGCCCAGACTAATTAAGTCAATGGGCCTTTGTTTCTGACGAGAGCCTTCAGAGGAAGCCCAGGAGTTCCTTGGGGAAACACTATGAGACATCTCTGGGGGTGGCAGGTGGGGTTCCTACAGTCACTAGCAGCTCAATTCAGATGGTTCATGAATGATGCAGACATTTAAAGAACAAACAGGCCACTGGCAGAGGCCTTTCCAATAACTTCCTCAAGGGGCCGCCCTGACTCCCCTTCTTAGATGCAGATACTTAAACTCTCCCCTTTTTTGCTTCAGCCAGAACCCCGATTTACTCATTCATCCATCCATGCATTCATTTAAGAGTCATCCTTATCAGCAGTGCCAGTGCTGAGGACTATTAAGATGAGTCACACACAGCCCCTCCTTCGATAATAACCAGCCAGAGGCGGGGAGAAAGCCATAAACCTGTGATTACAATACCCTGCGCTAGGAATCAGGACAGACAATGGGAAAGTGGAAAGGGGGCTCCCCTCACGCCCTCTCTGCCTGGAGTACAGGGATCAGGGACTCAGGGGGCTGAGAGGACAGTGTTAGGGCTAAAGGGAGCATAGAACTCATAGACACCCATGTTTTCTGTCTTAACTGAGTTGTGTTTGGTGATTTATAGACAAAGTAAGTTGTGGGGTGGTGTGATGGGCCAAATGTTTTTGTCCCTCAAAATTGAAATCCTATTTCCCAACGTGATGGTCTTAGGAGGTGGGGCCTTTGGTAGCTGATTAAGTCCTGGGAGCAGAGCTCTCATGAAGGGGATTCGTGTCCCTATAAAGAGACCCAGAGAGCTCCCTTGCCCCCTCCAACATGTGAGGACACAGCAAGACAACAGCCATCTATGAACCAGGAAGGGGTCCTCACAGGACATAGAATCAGCCTGCCCCTGGCTCTTGGGACTCCCAGCCTCAGCAACTGTGAGAGATGACTGTTCACTGTGTAAGCCACCCAGCCCATGGTACTGTGTCACAGCAGCTCAGCACTGACCAAGTTGGCTTAGCACAATAGCCAAGTCACTTGAAATACTGTTTCTACAGGAAAACGTATTTTAAGTTCCAAATTGCCTACCTTAGAAACAAAGTTCTGGAATACGTTCCACTTGTAAATTGCATTCCTCTTTAAGTAAGCATGTGAGTTTCCCAGCATATCTGTGAGACTCAGATGTGTTTGAAAGCCAGGGCCCAAACCTTATCCTTTAGGCACTTACCAGGGTTTCCTCTATTTGACCTAACTTACTCTCAAAAAAGAGAGAAAGCCTTGAAAAATATTAATTTCCTTATAGTATTGAATGTCTTCTGCTAAGATGATCACATGCCATCCACTTGAACCAAATCAGTAAATGATCATTATGTTTTCTGTCTTCACTGAGGCACTTGTCACCTTCTGCCTTTGTATCATTAAATCAGTCAGGAAAAAGCGGTAAAGAATCAACTTGCCAACATGAAGATCAGAACAGAATTCCTAATTCTTGCTTTCACCAGTTATCTGACATTAGGCAAGTGATTTAATTCTCCTTGCCTCAGTCTCCCCAGCTATGAAATGGGAGTAAGTCTTACTTCATAGTTTGTTAAAATGAGGATTTAAAGAACTGAAACACATAAAGTCCTTAGAAAAATGCTTGGTAAATGCTTTTTTTGATAAAGACTATGTCATCATCATCATCTTCTTCATCATCATCATCACCACTAGCAAGGTCATTAGTTGGTCAGAAGTAAAGCCAACCGTATAATTAACAGGGGTCCCTCAGACCGTTGGAGGGCCGGACTATAGTTTAAAAAAAAACTATGAACAAATTCCTATGCACACTGCACATATCTTATTTTGAAGTAAAAAAACAAAACGGGAACAAATAGAATATTTGTATTTGCATGTGGCCCGCAGGCCATAGTTTGAGGACCCCTGGTATAATAGGTGCATTTGCCCTGGCAGCTGAGGTTGGCCATTCTGGCCCAGGCAGAGACAGCTGGCCAAGGGTCCCACCCCCGGCTTACCTTCACCACCTCGTTGTGCATGCCCTGCACAGCCAGGTGGAGGGGTGCCATCATGCTGTTGTTTTGGAGGTTTGGGTTGGCTCCTTTGCTGAGAAGAAATCTAACACTTTCCACCTGGTTTTTTTCTGCAGCCCAGTGCAGAGGGGTGTTTCCATCATTGTCCATCACATTCAGCACTAGGAAAAGAAACCAATATATGGGTTAGGTTTTGCTTGGACGGGATTGAATGCCTACTGCATCCCTATTCACTTCAAAGCTCAGTGCCAGGTGCCACTGTGACAGGCTTCACCTTTGTTATACAAAATAAAAATATAGCTTCTGGTCTCAAGAAACAGCTGATGGACACCTCGAGGGGATGCATAGAATTAGGACACTGACTTTGTCAAATGAGTGATATCCATCTATGACATCGATAAGAAAAACAGATCTTCCGATTGCTACATGTGTTTATCTGTGGTATGAATTTGGGAACTGTTATGACATATTGTGCTCAATAAAAGCAATAATTATATGCCAGGCACTTTACTGGGTTCCATATAACCATTGTTTCACTGAACCCTCCAACAGCCCGCAAGGAACCGTGACTGTTTTTCATAAAGATGAAGATGCTGAGGCATAGAGTGGCTCAATATCTTGGCAACATCACACCGCTAGTAAAGAGAGTTTGGTAAGTTGCCTTACTTCTTTTAACCTGCTTTCTCATATTCAAATTTGATTACAAAAAAGAAATATATATATTTGTGATGTCTTCATGAACAGTGTTTGGCCCATAGCCATGCTAAGAGGCCACAGGACTGGAATTAGAGCTTGAGCCTCCAATAACACACATGGCTACAATATGACATTTCACACTGTTTATTCTGTGAGCTCAGCACAGGAATGGGCAGCATCTTATATCTGTTCTAAAATAGACATGCCTGTCTGCTTTATCAACCATTTTAATTAGTGGCAGTATATCTTTATTTCTGAGGAGGGAAAAATACTCACTTTTGAAAATGATTTGGGAACCATCTACAATGCTTAGACCCATGCTGCAGCCATGTCTGTTTTGTTTGTTTTTTTTAATTATCTCTGCACTATTTCCTTTCACTCATCCAAAAGCCTCATTCTTAATTATACACACACATATATACACATGCACTCACAGACTCACACAATCCATCTCACACATAGACACACACACACACACACACACACACACACCTCTTAACCATTCTGTCTGATCAAGACTGAGCACTTTATTGAGCACTTCAATCAGCACCAAACTTGGTTGAACAGGGGCCTAAACTTACATACTTCCAATCACTAATTAAATAACCTGAATTTGGCTTTTGTCTCCACCACTTTTCAGAAATCATTTCCACAAAGGTCCTGAGTCTTTCTAATGTGAGGGTGTGCTGTGATCTTCCTCCCTTGTTGGGTGTATCTTCAATCCCTTTCCCATCACTCTCTTCACCATCCTGCTCCTGGCTTTTCCTCTGCCATCTGACCCTTAATATTGGTGCTCTCCCCTTAGCTACCTTGATGGGCAATTCTCAGATCTCCTAAAGGATCTCTGGGCATTCCCACAGCCCCAGCTACTTCCTTTGCAACAGTGGCTTTGTAGGGCTGGCGCCTTTCCTTCTATATTTCTAGTTGTCTACTGGATATTTCCAAGTGCATATCCCCTGGGCCTTTTAAACTCAGTAGGACCAAACCAAAGTCATTATCCCATCACACGTCAGACACACTTTTCCTGTATTTTCTTCTATGCCTCCTTTTCTTTGTGGTTATACTATCAGCCTCATCTCTTTTCAGAGTCACTTCTTGCCACTTCCTCCTTACATCCAATCTTTTATCACACACTGTTGACTCCATGTGCAAAATAGCTTTCGAATCTCTTCCTTTCTCCTATTTCAACTTCAAAGCCCTGGTCGACTCTTTACATTAAAATAGCTCTCTAATTGGGATTCCACTTCCATGCCTCTTCCACAATATTGACAGAATTATCTCAACTTATAAAAGCCTTTTCCTTCCACCTCACTGCTGACGTCTCTGTGGCATCCACCTCCTTGACTACAGTTGAGTTTCTGAAACAAGGCTGGTGTATGAAGCGGGGTTGTGGGAATATGTTACCTCTTCTTAGAGTGTTAGTTTTATTCACTGATGAGCAATATAAGTGTAGAATAACCTCAATAGAAATAGTATAGAGCAGGGGTCCTCAAACTACGGCCCGTGGGCCACATGCAAATACAAATATTGTATTTGTTCCCGTTTTGTTTTTTTACTTCAAAATAAGATATGTGCAGTGTGCATAGGAATTTGTTCATAGTTTTTTTTAAAACTATAGTCCGGCCCTCCAACGGTCTGAGGGACAGTGAACTGGCCCCCTGTTTATAAAGTTTGAGGACCCCTGGTATAGAGGGATACATTCAATGTGTATGAATTGTTATGACCTATCAGAAAGATTTGAAGTGCTTGCCATGCAATGTCCCCGGTCTCTGCACTGTCCTTGGCAGTGTTTCAGTGGGGAAAATTGAGGACCACTGGCCTATAGGGAAAGTCACACTCTGAGTGAGCTAGTCAGGCCCTTAAAACCAGTCCACCTTCAGAGTAACTTCTCAGCACTTTTTTCAATGAACCTAATGGGATAATGGATAGGGAGTAGGCACTGTAACATTTTGTTACCTTCACAAGAGGAGTCATTGATGATCATCTCCATCAGCCCAATGTCACCTTCTTCTGCGGCATAATGCAAAGGGGAGGCGTTCACATCATCATATTTGTGTGGCTTCTTTGGTTTCTTCAGACAGCTTTGTAATTCATTTGCGTTTCCTTCAAAAACCACCTAGAAGGATATTAAAACATTTTCACTTCAAACAAGCATATGTAAACTTTATTAATATGTTTATCGTTAAAAGTTATTATCATCCAAAACTATTTATCATGCTTACAATAGATAATTTTTTTGAAGAACACAAAATGTTCACAGAGATAAAGAAAGTGGAAGCAAATGCCTAAACATTGAGAAGTACCTTAAGAAACTGATTTTATTTTCAGATTATAAATGTGTATATATTATAGAAATAAAGGTCTCGAGAAAAGTTTTTTTAAAAATATATTTTATTGATTTTTTACAGAGAGGAAGGGAGAGGGATAGAGAGTTAGAAACATTGATGATATAGAAACATCGATCAGCTGCCTCCTGCACACTCCCCACTGGGGATGTGCCCGCAACCAAGGTACATGCCCTTGACCGGAATCGAACCTGGGACCCTTGAGTCCGCAGGCTGATGCTCTATCCACTGAGCCAAACCGGCTAGGGCTCGAGAAAAGTTTTGAAGCAAATGTAAGGGGTGTGATCTGAGAAATAAGAAGGATAGTGACACTAGAGGAATTCTCCCTGCCAGGTGAAAATGTAAACTACAGCACAAGGGATTTTGGTGAGATAAAAAAATTTTTTTTTCATGAATGCAAGAATTACGCCTACAGTCAATTCCCATCCAATGTTTCCCTTCTTATATACCAGAGTTAGAGTCCTGGAGCATTGTCATGTCACTCACGTGGTCAGTAGTCTAGAATGGCTTCCACTCACCCCTGGGAACGAGCATTCCTATCACTGGGGTCCTATTGCGGCCAAATCATGTCAGGCTCACCTCCTTGGTGCTCTCTGCACCCAGGAAGAGCTAGTGTTATTTGCATTTACTTAGGACCCTATATCAGGGCATTGCGAGGATATGTCACTTGCCCAGAGGCACAGTAAGTGGCAAATTCAGAATTTGAACAGGAGATGCCTGGAATATATATTTTGGCTGAATGATGGATGCTAAAAATCAACATACACTAGAAGCTGAGGTCAAAACCACCCTTGTACAATGGATATAATAATATCCATTATATAATAAGATATTATGGAGCCTAAGAGAGGACTTTGTAGAGTAGGCTCAGTACGTTCTGGCATCATTGGCTGCTGACACTGGCCTGTAAATGTGGAATTCCAAACACATGTTCATGTCCAGTGATGTCCAGGGAAGAGCAAGAGCTTTTTTGAATATGTCATTTTTTTCTAACACTTGCTTTTCATCACGCTTTTTATATTCTTTATTATGACTGGACTAAAAATGATTTATCACAGGTGACTTTATGTTTCCTCCTTGTGAAATTTTAAGGCAACAGTGTGGACATTCTGAGTTTGATTCATTCTCACAAGATATGAAGAAAAATTCCCAGATAGGTCTTTTTCTTGAAAAGCTCATGACATGCATAGAATTAGCTTACTAAAAAGTAAATAAATCCTTAAAAATCATTGTATTCAATGTTAGTAATGTTCCTATAGCAATTACAATTTTAAAACAGCTTTCATATCATAAACGTGCTTCTATGAGGCTGCCTTGCATTATAATTTAAATTCATATATATGATCAAAGAGTATATTATGTTCTTCCTAAAATTAATGCATCCTTTATTAATATCTACATTAACTGACAATCTATTTCTCTATTTAACTCTTTGAAAATTTTTAATATCTGTTTTGGTTCTGCGGCCAAAAAATGTGTTTGAAAAAACTCTAGTTCTTTTCTAATACTGTCTATGCTACCGGTACACTATACATTTGTATACTTATTTTCCATGTTGTAAATAATTTGTATACTTATTTTCATATGTAAATAATTTTTCCAGAAAAAGGGAGGAAGGAAGGAAAACACATCAAGTGATGCCATGTGGACTATTAGACACACTAGAACTTCCCTTAGACGACTTGGTGAATTTCAATTCCCTAGAGACTTAAAAAAAAAAATGGGAAAAATTAATTGAACCTCCTTCCTATTCTGTGACAATATAGAAACTAAGTTTTTTTCTCAGTGTTCCTTCAAGCTTTGGAAATATGTGCCCAAGCAATACATTTGACTGAATTTTTTCCAAAGCTATTTCTTAGCAAATATTTCATCACATGGACCAGAAGTAAAATGTTCTACAAGACAGTAGCTTTTCATGGAACCCACTATAAAATGACTATTTTCTAAAAATGCAGAAACCTCCCCAAACAAATGATCCAGGCAGGCACTTGCTTTAATTCTATTTTTAACTATGACAGGTCACATTTGACACATGGCAATATTGGGTCAAAACCTGTGATTCATTATCTTACAGATGACCAGAACATTTCCCACTATTAAAATTAAAAACTATCATGAACTAAAATCAAGTCTTAATGTGCTTAATGTATTTTTAATACAGTTAATAAAGACTTGAGCACTTAGAATTCATATAATAAATATCAGGTTGAAATAAATAAAATGAAATCTTGCCCGGCCGGTGTGGCTCAGTGGTTGAGCATTGACCTCTGAACCAGGAGATTAGGGTTCGATTCCCAGTCAGGGCACATGCCCAGGTTGTGGGCTTGATCCCCAGTGTGGGGTGTGCAGGAGGCAGCCAATCAATGATTATCTCTCATCATTGATGTTTCTACCTCTCCTTCCCTCTCCCTTCCTCTCTGAAATCAATCTATATATATAAAAGGCTAAGTGACTGTCTGACCGGCCAGTAGCTATGACGTGCACTGACCACCAGGGGGGCAGATACTCAATGCAGGAGCTGCTGAGCTGCAGTCAGTTGGAGGCAGTGGTTCTCGGGTGATGCACCCCAGAACCAGAGAGGAGGGAGCCCGATTCTGGGGTACATCACCGGAGAACCACCCTCTCCCAACCCAGGACCCCTTGGGGGATGTCAGAGAGCCGGTTTCGGCCAGGCCAGGCCGAGGGACCCCATCTGCCAGAGGGATCCCACTCACTCTTCAGATGCCCTTTGAGCTGCGTACCTCCCCAGGTGCGGCAGTCCGGAAAGGGACTGCAGGAGGTTGGCTCCAGGGTGTGTCTGGCCCATCTAGCCCAGTCTTGCCCCGCTGGCCACCTTCTAATTAATTTCCTTTCAATGTGCACAAATCCGTGCACTGGGGCACTAGTAAAAATATATTTTAAAAAATAAAATAAAAATCTCTTAAAATTTTGATCTTTGATTTTTGCTCCATTAACACAGAATAGTACCTAAGGAGTCACTCTTCCATGGTAGGCCCTTAAATGGAGATGTATCACTGAATTTTCAATTACACAATTCTACATAAGCTTCATATACCTTTAGTGGATGACTATGACAAGGGGTATCCAACCGTGTCCACATATTCAGAACTAAGTTTAAAAATGGGCTTCTCACAGAAATAAGTATTCTCAAGGTCTTACCCTATCAAACAAGTGTTTACCTGAGTCCGTCTGGAAGTATTTTAGCACCTGAGTTTGATATGTCCTTTCACTGATAATAAAGGGACCACATTGCTCACCCCACAGAGCCAGGAAGAGCCATTTATAGGTCTGTTCAGCGATCAACCCAGTTAAACACTCTTGGGAACAAGTATGTGGTTCAGATGCTCCCAAGGAACTGCTGAGTTCACAATGGCACAAGCACATCAAAATACTTTATACAGGCTCATCAGAGGCGCTGAATGGTCAGTCTGAACAGTACATGACAAGTCAGCTTTGGAAGGATTTCTTAAAGAAAGTTCTGGAATAAACCAAAATTGTGATTTAGACCAATGATTATATATCCATTCAGTGTAGTTTTGTATGTCACATTATATAACTACACACAGAACATAATAGACTAGATCACCTTTAAAGAAGCAAATTCTTTAAAACAGATCAAAGACATCTATTTCAGGTTACTCTAATGGAGTGCATATAAGTGGGACAAAAATAGGGAAGCTAAGGTGAGAGATTAAACAAATGGACAGTCAAATGCTAAAATATTAACTCTTTTTAAAAATATATATTTTATTGATTTCAGAGAGGAAGGGAGAGGGAGAGAGAGATATACATATCAATGATGAGAGAGAATCATTGATTGGCTGCCTCCTGCATGCCCCCTACTGGGGATCATGTGCCCTTGACCAGAATAGAACCGCAGACCCTGCAGCTAGGGCTCTATCTACTGAGCCAAACCAGCTAGGGCAAATATTAATTCTTGAAGAAAAGTCATCGGGAAAGGACAAAGGTATAAGTCAGATGGTTTTATCCACATTTCTCGTCTTGTGAGGTTTCTGCCATCCTTCAGTTTTGTTAGTATTCCTGAGTGTGTGTGCTGGAGAATATATTGTACACAGTATTTTTTAATCAGGAAATCCTTAGAGTTAAAACTATGATGAGTTTTCTATGTATTGATCTCTAATTCTTCTCACCATTAAGATTTCTACGGAATGATCTGGAATTACTGCAGGTCATAAAATAAAATATATAAAGCCCTCCCTCCCTCTGTAAGTTTTAATGTGGCTTCTAACACAACACAAATGGCACTACTTCACTTAGGTACGCAAAGGAAGTATTTCTGGTGTGATTTTCCAATTTTTTATAATTTTTTCCTGTCCCATAAAATTAGTTCCAGATACACTATTCTAATGCTGGAAATTCGCTCATGACCTCCGTAGTAGGGATGAAGCCAAAAGGCCATGAAGCAAAAATCAAAGATCAAAATTTTAAGAGACTTTGTTTTACTTATTTCAACCTAACGTTTATTATATGAATCCTAAATGCTCAACTCTTCATTAACTATATTAAATACATTAAGACCTGTTACTATTGAGGAGGAAGATAGTATTCCGTGTGGATGTGCCAATAGACTCAGCTTGGGAGGCCTGGTTTGTGGGGTTATGTGATTTACTCTACATGTCTGGCTCACACACACGTGAGTACCAATTGGTAAATATCAATTCCTGGCTCACACACGTGAGTATCAATTGGTAAGTATCAATTCCTGCCGCCTGTTTAGAGGGATTTTTGTCAATTTAATTTATACCAAAATGAAAGTTATACATACCTCTTGATCCTGCTAGGACTTTAACATACGAAACATGCCCAGTAAGGTACCAGTAGACAGACAGACAAAGCCACATCTCCCTTCGCAGATACATTCAATCATCATATGAAATAAAACAAAACAAAACTAGACACAGCCCAAGTGTCTACGGATGCAGAACTGGCTAAATACATCGCGATGCATCCAGAGAAGGGAATACTATAAAGCTGCTAAAAATCGTGAGGCGCCTCTCCAGGTGCTGATGTGAAAAGCATTCTGAAATGTATTTTGTGAGGAAATAAAAGTGCAAGCCTCTGTGACATCCCACTTTTGTAAAGTGTGTATCTGAATAATCCCCCTCCCCCCAAATGCACAGGAACTGTTAATAGGATTCCATTGCGGAAAGGGGTTTGTGGTGGGGGGTTGAGAGGCATTTGTAAAGATGTATTAACGTCTGAAAAGAGACCCTTCCCCCTGCTGACAACCTGAGGAAACCCAGGGGTGGGTCTCTGAGCGCTTGAGCCTCCGCCCTCAGACTGCACCATCGGAGGGTGGCGGTAGCTCATGCTGCCTTCGGAGCCGAAGCCAGGGAACAGCTTAAGCAACAGAAGCCCCACCCAGTCCTTGGGACCCCATGGACCACCTACCCATCTTCAAAGGGCCTTCCTCTCCGCAGAGCCCATCCCGACACTCCTACCCCCTCCCCACCCCCGGATTCTTTACTCTATGAGTCCTGTAATGCTTCCCTCAGGTGCTGGTTTCTCCGTTTTACTCCACGGGACAAGAATGCTTCCCACCGCCAGGCACTTCGGGAAATCCGACTTCCAGGTACAGCCATTTAGCTCTTCAGTCTGAAATAAAACCTACAAAACACGGTCTGGCGACACCGCACACGCTCCCGCCCGCCGATCGCCCAGGGTACCTTAAAGGAGTCCTTGGAGTCGTCCATGTCGTCCTCCACGCCCTGGTAGACCACGCCCTGGGGCTCCTTCTTCCCCCCCGTGCGCAGCATCCTCCTCAGGTTGCGCCTCATGGTCCCCACCCCGGACGCCACCTGCTGCAGCTGCTGCGCGCGGGCACCTGGGGCGACAGAGCGCGGTGAGCCGCGGGGCGCCGGGAGGCGGGTCCGCCGGGCAGTCCCGGGACGTGGAAAACTTGCTCCGCGCGAGGCCGGGAGCTTCTGCAAGGAGCGCTCGGGCCTCAGCTACTTGTAGTGCAGGAAGGAGAAGGGGTGTGGGGTGACCTCGTGGCCCCGCGCGCAGAGATGGGGGTGCGGGGGCGGCACACCGCGTGTCCCCAGGGCTCACTCACCACTTTAGGCGGAAAGCGCCTATTTCCTGTCCCTCCCCTCCCCACCTCCACCCCCACCCTAGTCTAGGTGTCAGGTCAGGGTGGGTCTAGCTAATAAAAACACGAAGCCCCCACCCCACACACGCCCTACCCAACAACCTTGGCGGTGGGGGAGAATGAGATAATAACTGGGGACATTGGGAAGATTTCTATTTTTTAGAAATTATTGTTTCTAAAAGCCACTGGGCCTGTTTTTCCTTGTCCGTTTCATTTTAAAAGCCTCTTTGGAGATACAGTCTTTAGAACAACTCCTATTTTCTAAGGTCCCACTTCCTCTGGGGACATTTCCTGTGGATAACAATACTAATACACTTCAGGTTTGGTTTTTCAGAATGGCTAATAAAATGACTGTTGGGTTAAAGAAGTCAAGTTGACGGCTGTTTACCATCAGCTCTGTTGGAAAGGCCTATCTCCATGGGCCTGCACTGCCTGCATCATCAACGGCATAGGTGCCGGTGTAGAGTGGAAGGTGTGTCCTCTCCTTTGAGAGACTAGTTCTTCATTGAGGTGCAGACAGTGGGACCTCTAAAACTGTTGCCACTGTGTTTAGGTCACAGGGTTAGGAAGCCACAGACTTCCTTCCAAAGCTGTTGCACCTTGCACAGGAGAAAACTTAGCCCGTCCTTTATTTGGACACACTGCACCCCTTTGAGACCCTGGGTGGTCATATCCAGGTGGTGGTCTCCAGCACCTGGATGCAGGCTCTGGCATAGAGCCAGCACTAAATACAAGTATGTGGACACCTGACTTAGGGGCTACCCTGGGCTGAACTCAAGGGTGGTAGGGTGGCCATGATGCTATTGAGGCACTATGGGAAGGTTCCCTCAACTCTTCCAATAGAGATGACAGGTTGCCATCAATTCCACCCCCTGGACTGGAATTCTTTAGAAGGTGAATACTGAGGTTCTCTCCAGTCATCAACCCATGTGGCCTGCTGGAAGATTGGTGGAGGATACAGCATTCAGCTTTACCACCTGCTGTTTCCCATCAGCATCTGTACCCAGGGAGTACAGACCAGGCATCAGCTGTTATCAGGTTGGAGTGGGTAATGTATTTAGAAAAAAAATCTAAAAAAAAGATTCAGAGAGGGATGGAGAAAGAATAATGTTGAGTCACTATTGTCTGCTGGCATTTTACATCTATTAGTTCCTCATTTTAAAAAGGAAATGCCTCAGAGGAATATTAAGGTTTTCTATTTGTTATCGTCAATTTACTTTGATCAATTGCTTTTCTCCTAACACTTAGCTGAAAAGGGTCACCAGGGCAAAAAGAGAATGAAGAGGGTTCTGAAAGGGGTCATTCTGGAAGCCTGGCAGAGGGTGTGCCTAATGGCAAGCATCATTTAGCTTTGAGAGAGGACCTTGAGGGCCAGGGAACTTCAGCCTTACAGGGGTGCAGGCAGGAGGGTCCCAGGACACCTACTCCATCCTTCCTCCTAGCCTCTCTGTTGCTGCTCCTCAGTTAACACTTGCAGACCATCTCTGTGTCCTGTGGTCACTGGTTCCCCCATCATTCTTCCCATCTCAGCATTGCTTTGCCTATATTTAACTGGAGTTTTCCTTTATTTTTACATCTCTGTAGATCTGGTACTGTCTGCCTTCCATTTTTCCAGAAGTCTTTAACATTTCTAGACTGCTGGTGGAATTATTTTGTTTATCCACCTTAGTTTGACTTTACTCTTTACTACAAAAACTTATACGTATATTCTTTGCCATTTCATAGGATTGCAGATGGGAAGGAAAATAGGTGTGTGTACTCAGACAATCTTAATCAGATCACTTTATCTTATTTCCTAGGTGATTTTTAAAAATTCTACGCTGTTTCTGCCAAATTGCATGGAAAGGGAATTTTTTTTATATACAGCACATCTTAACATATTTAAGTTACATTACAAAAGGATTGAGTCAGGAGGAAGGGAGGAAACTGATGTTCACCAGGCTCTACTGCTCACCAGGCCACGTTGCTAGTTTGGTGACACCTAGTCCCAGATGGAACATTCTGGTTAATATGGACAAATTGTGAGATAATTACACACACACATTTTACTGTGAAATGCTTTTTTCTACCAGGGAACCAGAGAAACGCAGCGTACTTTGTTACAGAGAAACCTGAAGCAGATTCTGTCCTGTCTGCCTCCCACAAGACCAGCTGATACACAGCACCATTCCCAGGGCCCTTGGCAACCGTGGTCTAGAGGGATTATCAGAGCCATTAATAAAATGCAAATCTGATAAGATTATTTAAAATGTCAGATGGTTAAAAAGCTAATTAAGTTGGCCTCCTAGGTAAGGAAAACCTTGCTAAGAGTTCATTGTGTCATGACGAACATAATTCCAAATTTTAGGATAAAGTAAGATATATATACTTATTTTATTTGTATTATGTTCTTATAAAACAGTATATATTTTATGCCTTAACTTAATCAGATGGAATTAATCTTTATGTTGTAAATTTCTATTTCTAACTATTTTACCTGAAGAAACAGCCAAAATTTTATGATAGAATTAATCTTTACATTGTGAATTATTTTATTTCTAATTATTTAACTAGAAGCAATAGCCAAAATTTTAAATTTGTTTCTATGCTATCTGCCAAGCCTCTCGGTGAATTCTGAACAACCATAGCTCAAACAGTTCAAACAGAATCAGATTTGAAATAAAGTTTTGTTTCATCCAATTCATGATGCGATCTAAGTTACACTAAAACTCAATCACATCAAATATAAAATGACAATCTACATTCCTTACAGTGGTGACCCAAACTGGCATTTCAGATGTATAATTTTTATTATAATTAAACTAATTCCTTATGTCAGAAACCTTGACTCATCTAACATCTGAAATATGTGTATTATTCCTTAAAAATATGAAAGTTATAGGATATTGAATAAAAATTATGCTTACCTTCGTTCATGGAATTTGACATCCTGTTTCAGAAGTTACACAGGCAAAAATACCCAAGCACAGAACTGTTCCTTTTCTCACCGGCAGTAGGTGGCACCCACTTTTATAGTCCCATATAATTATACAAGGGGCGTGTCATTCTAAGAGTCAATATTATGCCTTTTTATTAGATTACCTAATATAATTGATTGATGAGCATTAAGTTTTCATAACTCGAGCTTTAAAAGTTGATTACTGGCTACTGAAAAGGAATCACTTAATTTAATTATTGCTTATAAGTTTATCTCAGTTGCATGGCTTCTTGATAATCCAGTGCCACAAATCAAAATAGTTAATAGGTAACCTTAAGAGAATTATCTAGCTTTTGCAGAAAACTAAGTACTGTACCATTCTTCTACTGAATAAAAGGCAGAATACCAAGAAAAGTAAATGAAGGATTGCAACATTGTCATTTACTTGTTTAAATCTGTTATATACCAGTAAATTGGAGACAAAATTGAGTTACCCAATAGAAAATTATCATGACAAATGTCTCATACCATAAGCATGTATCTGTGTCTACCACAGATAAGATGGAAGAGGAAAAAGCCCGGAGCAGCTGGAGGGGTATTGTTTGGGGCCTGCAAGGGGGGCCAGGAAATGTAGTGCTTAGGAGGAAGAGGAGGTGTCTTTATTGATAGTCCCTTCTGCAGGTGCTGTGGGCCCACAACTATGGGTCGGGGGAGGCTCCCTGAAGGAAGCAAAGCTCATCTTATTTGATGAGTAGCAGCTAACCGGGAGAAAATTGGGGCGGTGAAGGAAGATGCATGCGAACAAGATCATCACAGACAGAAGGAAGAGCATGGGCAAATCATGAAGTGAGAGAGGATGGTGACGTTAAGGAATTGCAACAACATGGGTTCTCCCGAGGGAGCAGAAGGAAAGAACTGTGGATGCTTTTATAATTGGGTAGTCCATATTATAGGGTTTTAAACTCCTTTTTATTTTAGCTCCCTCCAACAGCAACGTAGGGGATGAACCAAGTAGGCCAAGAGTGTGGTCAATAATATCAATAAAGATGGCATAATGATCATGAAGTCAGAAAGGATAAAGTCCTGAACTGTGGCAGTGGAAATAAAGAGGGACGGAGGATTTAGTGGACCTCCAGGACATAGGCACCACAGAAGTTGGAGGACAATTCGAGGGTGAGATGAGTAAAAGTAGAGTCTAGATAGAATGACTTCCAGGTTTCTGATTTCCTGGGGAGAGAAGAGGATGATAAAGGTGGAGTGTGTTAAGATAGGAAGGAAGGAGAAAAGATTCCATCACCCAGAAAGCCGTGAAATAAATGAGAGTGCTTTAAAATTTTAGAAATTTTAACTTTTCTGCAAAATCTGAAAAAATGATAAAGAAAATGGGGACCAAAAATATCCTTTCAATATGGAAACTAGAATCTCACTAGTGACTTTGCTAGGAGCAGTGTGAGAATTTAAATCTATAATAATAAGCGTTTCAATATGAATATCATGTTTATTATGATAAATAATAGTACAGTTTAGTGTTTAAGTGATTTAATTATAGATAGAAGGGACTTTAATGGTTGTCATAATGATATTGGGCAAAGTTTAAAATCTGACTACATTCTGAATACAAAAAAAAAGATCTCTAGTTCATAACTACTGAAGCTCCAACCCTGATATTTCTCCATGTGAAGACTTTCATCTCTGCCTAAATTAGTTCAGAAATTTGTTGATGCTAATGCACATGATTTGTTGTAGTTTGCCATGTTTTCAATAATTCA